CGGAGGAAAGGCGGGGCGAACGGAGGCGAAAGGAGAAGAAGACCTGGATGGGGAGACCGGTGTATGGGGTGGTTTGGACAAGCTTTTGGGTGGGTGGAGAAAAGGGGGGGGGAAACGCCGGGTAAGGGGTGGTTGCACGATTTGCACGCCCAGTGGGCACCTCCACAACAGGGTGCCCCTGGATGAAAAGAATAAAGAGATGAAGGATGCCAGGAAGGGCTCCTGTCTCCTTTGTGTGCCCTTCTCTCCCCCCCCCCTTACCAATTATTTTGGGTTTATTCATTTTCTTTTGGTAGCTCAGTTTAGAAACATTTAAGTCGAGGACTGTGCTTGGCAGCGGATCTTGGTGAAATGATGTGGAAGAAGAGGAAAAAGGCAGACAACCCCATGCTAGAATACAGGTTGCTCTGGTCTGGCAGGAGATTCAGGAATGACAAAAGGGAATATTTTTCTCGCAATCCGGTCCCTGATTTCAGGTACTCTGGAACCCTCTGATGCTGTGGTGGCTACTAATTCAGAATGGCGGCTTGAAAAGGGGATTGCACAAATAGAGGAAGAATGGCTCTTGTCGATGGCCGAGGGTCCCCAGTCGCAGGAGCTGCCATTGTGTTCTCAGAAGCCGTAGGTTACAAAACGACAATGGCTAAGGACCGATGTCGGAAAATAACTGTGATCTTCATGGCAGGCGGGCTTTCCTGTGGCATCCAGATAGCCCCTGTGGGAAACAGGATGAATAGCAGGTGAGAGTAGGTGTATTGGGTACATAGATCTCTGTAGATTAAGGATCCAGCATTTGTTGCATCCCTCACTGCTTATTATGAAGGCTAAGGCAGTGGGCAGTAGAGTCCGACAGTATCTAAAAGGCCATGGGGGTCCTCCAGCCCTTCTGTGCGGATGAATTAATACTGTTCGGTTGGAATCCGTTGGACTGCAAGGAGAACAAACCTATCCATTTTGCAGGAAATCAACCCTGAGTGCTCACTGGAAGGACAGATCCTGAAGCTGAGGCTCCCATACTTTAGCCATCTCATGAGAAGAGAAGACTCCCTGGAAAAGATCCTGATGTTGGGAAAGTGTGAGGGCAAGAGGAGAAGGGGATGACAGAGGACGAGATGGATGGACAGGGTCATCAAAGCTACCAACATGAATTTGACCCAACTCCAGGAAGCAGTGGAAGGCAGGAGTGGTGTGCTCTGGTCCATGGGGTCATGAAGAGTTGGACACGACTTAACGACTAAACAACAACAACAAATAATTTCAAAGAACAATGACAATCATTTAAGAGATCAGTGTCATATGCATTCATAATAACTGTGTATTCCACATTTAACTAGAGCAAGATACATCTCTGAAAAAATAGGAAGTAAATCATTCTGTGAAGAGATTGTACGTAATGTATTATAAAATGAAAGGCTGTATATATTTTTATTCCTGGCCTAAACAGATTAAAGTAAACAAGATCATTTATTTCTGTGTTACTGAATGCTACTGAAATGACAAAATAATTATTATTTCATCATACAAGGTGTAGGTATTTTAATTTCTAAATAGATTAGGGTAAACAGGGTGATTTTAGATACACGTCACTAAATGCTAAAGAAATGACAAATAATTATAAGTACATAATAGACATTCCACACTAAACAGGAAAGCACCCTGTCATATGACTCTGTACACACTTGAAAACATGCTAAGCGTTTTGTTATGTGCTGACTGGTCTTGTTAAAGCTATTGCCTGACTGTTGTTTTTGTCCATTCATTAATAAATATGTTGCTTGACATGACAGAAGAGTCAAATTTTGTCATGCTGAAGTTTAACGTACTGTATCATATAAAATAGATCAGTATTGCTTGAGTTTTGCTACTGAAACAAGTTGTACGCGTTTGGTTAATGGAAGTGATTTCAAATAACGAAAGCTATGTTTTATGCTGTTCCACCAGGAGAGCCCTTTGTGCATAGTGTTGAGAAGGAACTTGTTTCTTCATTCAAGGGTATGCGGAAGGATCAGGTGCAATTTGCAGGCAGCTGCAAGCTGTGACATATTTCAGTGCTCTGTCTCCCTTCCTGCTCCCGGTTCAGAGGAGAGCCGACTGCGCATGTGTTCCAGTGAGTCAGTTCCTGCAGGCAAACAAATTGGATGTGGGAGGAGAAGGAAAATAGCCGAGATGTCAGAATCATCTGTAGTTTAATGTTGAATTTATTGAAAATATCTGTGAGATGTTTTGATGTCAACGAGACGTGAGATGTTTTGCACTGTCACAGTGCTTGGTCTGGCTAGTATTCTTAGAATTTTCTTGTGCATGCATTGTGTGGTGGGGGTGTTAAAAGCACAAATTATATTTTGTTATGGATTTGTTCTCTTCTGTATACAGTTAAGACTAATGTAAGCAACTTTTAATATTTTAGTACAGTATTTTTGTCCTTTTTCTCGTAGAAAGATATCAAAAAACTATATTGACGACGGTATGTGTGGCATTAACATGCTCATTCTTTAAAGGAGATTCTGCTTTAGAACTATGGCTGCTCTGTAGAATGCTGTGGACAGATCTACAGGTTTGTATAAAATATTCTGCATAGGCAGTGTGATGTTCAGAATGCATAAATAGTTTGTTTTTTTTGTCTCTTCCTTTCCTCCAACCCTTCCCTTCTCTGCTACTTTGTGTAATAATTCACTCACCACCTCATCCCTGGCCTCATGGTTGGCCTTAAAAAGCATTTACCCTAGTATGGAATTTGGACTTTGTTTATTGGTGAGCACAGCTGCCTCCACCTTCTAGAAGTAATGAGAAATGTGTGCAAGGTTTCTAGCTTTGAATACTTAAAGGAGAAATGGCAAACCTTTGGTCTTTCAGATGTATTTGGAGGATGTAATAATAATAGAGAATCATCGCCACCGTCTAAGAACTACAGAGCTGGAAGGGGCACTATGGATCATTGAGTCCAACCCCTGTTGAGGAGGAACAGTGGGGGATTGAACTCCCAATCTCTGGCTACCTAAACCACCGAACTACCCAGCAAATTACACAATCCCTTACCATTGGAAATTCTGGTTGTTGCAGTCCAAGACAGCTCAAAGGCTACAGTTTCTTGCCTCTTGTTTAAAGTCGGACCTGTGACCCTCCAAAGGTCAATGAACTATTTTTCACCTGTGGCTATGGTGCCATGAGTTGATGGGAGGTGGAATTCAACAAAATCTCAAGGGCCAGAGATTTCCCAGCCCTAGTCTAAGATATCTGCTGGTTTTAATGTTCCTTAGTACAATTCCAAAACTTAGGTGGCTTGTTCTAAACTAGATCCTTAAGAAACAACTAGTAGCAAACTACTAGCAATAGCAAACTACTTTTCCATATGCTAATCCTTACATAGCCCAAACTGAAAAATTCATATCCAGCAGTGTGTAGCAGCAGGCTTCCCAAAGCCCTACGGTTTATGGGGGACACAGATTTCCTGTGTATCATCTCTTGCAAGGATCCTTAACCTTTCCTGGTTCATAAAAGCAACCAGGGAGGACTGGTGAAGTGGGCACAGTGATTGGCGAATGCCTCTCAATAGGAAATAGTTAGCTCTTTTTTGTCATGCCCTCCTGTCTTCCACTGCCTCCCAGAGTTTGGTCAAATTCATGTTAGTAGCTTTGATGACCCTGTCCATCCATCTCGTCCTCTGTCGTCCCCTTCTCCTCTTGCCTTCACACTTTCCCAACATCAGGGTCTTTTCCACGGAGTCTTCTCTTCTCGTGAGATGGCCAAAGTATTGGAGCCTCAGTTTCAGCATCTGTTCTTCCACTGAACACTCAGGGCTTATTGTGGCTTACAAAGTATTAATAAACTCTTGTTTTTGCAACAAAAAATAGGATGTTTACCAAGTTTTTTGTGGGGGGAACATCACATCTGGGTGATGGTTGGCTTGTGGGATGTGTCTTATGTAAGATAAATATAAGACAGTAATGAATAGCAACTGTTCAAAGTTCTGCGGGGTCCATCCATCACTTTTCAACCAAAGTATCTAACACTCTGCTGACTTTATTAGTCTTGGTGAAGGATTTATTGTTTGAAACATAATTGTTGCAAACTGATAAATTGAGAACATGAAACAGAAGTGCGCAGAAGCTAAAACAAGTGAACAAACAAAAAAAATGATGCATGTAAGCAATGCCTGTCTTTAAAGGCTAGTCTTAAAACATGTACATTTGACAATCAACTGTATTTGTTGCAATATATTTTGTTCTCAGTTTCTGTAGAAGGGTAACTAATTTTGAAGTTCAGAGTGTAAAATATTTCTTTTGGTTAGAGAGAACATAAATTATTTTAACAAAGCCAACAGAATGGGCCAAACTACCTAATGCATTTAATTATATTTAATTACTGTTTTCTACATTTAGTTGTGCTGCATCACAGAGACAACGAATGCAAGCCAAGTA